AAATTTGTGACTGTGCGACCTATAAATTTTGATCTGTGACCAACTAATTTTGAAATCTGTGACCAACGAATTAATTGTGACCTATAAAATTTTTGAACTGTGACCGTAAATTGTAAATCTGTGACTAGAATGGTCACCGGAATGGTCGTCAGAATAATTGCGGGAATCGGAGTGTCGTCGAAACGGTCGTCGGAATAGTCGCCGGAGAAGAGTGGTGGTCGGAATGATTGTCGGAATAGTTCTCGGAGCGGTATGGATGGTGTATGTGGGATTGATTAATTATATTATATGAGAAATCACACAGTATACCTCTTTTAAAATAAATAAATTATAAAATACCCCGTTTCTTAGTTTTTTAAAAATTTTACCCACGTCTAATATACAATTTTTAGAAACAGAGTCTTTATTCGTAGACTTGAAATGTGATCAGTTTAGGAAGACTTTGCAAAGTGGTCATTTTTTGATGTGCAATTATTGCGAAACTCTTTTTGTAAAAATAACCAATTTGTATATGGTCAAGATTTTCTATTACACAACAGGTTGATGCACAAATCTCAAGTCTATAGCAATAGTTCGTTAGATAAGTTATGCAAGTACAACATGATTTGACCACTCGATATAAAAACACAACATCTAATCCAAATTATCCAATGTGGAATCTAGGCCCTATTTGACATTCATTAAATAATAAAAAAAAAAATTTCTCAAACTCATTCTCAACTTCACATTCACACAACAAAATTTTATGTACGTAAATTCAATTTTTTTCCTATTTTTGAACGACTCATAAAAATAGTTTTAATGAATGTCAAACATGGGCTTAAAAATGGGTAGCTTATTTAAAACATGAAAGAAAAAATGATTTTTGGGTGATCTTGAATGCACATGTTTTCATGCATTTTCGAATTTTTGGGACAACGAATGTCGTAAATATATGTATTAACATGTCGAGATTATAATTGGTGGCTCGATATTGTTGTTAAACTTTAATCTGAAATGAAGACTTTCTAAAGGAACAAATAGAATTTCGAACTTGGTATTCTATGTTATCTCTAGTTTGATGAATGAAATAACGAGTTTTTACTTAGCAAAAATAGGATTTGTAGGGCCCCGGCTAGTTAGCAGCTCAAATTTAGTTTGTTGGTCAAATCTCTAGTTTGTTTGACTTTCTAATTTGAAAAGCGCATAATTTTTTGACCTACAATTTCGAATTGCACTCTATTTTTTTAAGTTAAAACTCTAAGTCAAATTATCGAACGGTATGTTATTTTCCACGTGGAGATATGTGTAAACGTGTGCTCCGAAACGAGGCCAATTTGGGTATTTTCAGACACGATTTCAATCCATATCAAAGCTATACAATGAGTAAATCTAGATCAAGAAAACTATCACATAATAGAGAATCATAGAGAGCAACACAAGTTCTCATCTTGGATTTTTCTCGAGGGAGCAAGATTTGGAAGAGATTCATCTTTTAAGGGTTGTATTCTTCATTCCTACCAAAATATCGAGGTTATGAATTCATTCAAATTCTTGTATTTGTATACTCTAATCATGTCCAGATATACTCTTCGTGACTAATCCAAATTCTTGTATTTGTATACTCTAATCATGTCCAGATATACTCTTCGTGACCGGATTAACGATGAAACCTTTTGATTTAGTTTAATTTGAAGTCGTCGTTTAATTATTTTTTTGGATTGATTGTATTATTTTTTTAATTCTATTTTGATGCAAAGATCATCATATGGGACGTATTTTTTATTCATATTATTTATGATAGATTCGGTATAAATTAGCACGTTATAATAAATCCAATAGGATCCTATAATGGAAAGAGATATTGTGATGATCTTTGCAAAATAACGCATACTTGTATGTTTGCAATTTAACTAGAAATAATTACGTTAACATATAGGTATAA